GGGCCGTGCCTGTGGCTCAGAGTAGGGCACTGGCCCCATATACTGGAGGTGGCTGGTTCAAACGCAGGGCCCAGCCCCCCCCAAAAAAAATTAAAAAAGAACTGGTTCCTAAAGAATGGAATGCAAACCAGAATTCATCAACAAACCCGGTAAGTAAATGAGCACATCTGAGCACAAACTTAAAACAACAATGTCAACAAAATGATTCATTAGGGTGGGAGGAGAGTAAACATCTGAGATTTACAACAACCTGAAAAATGAGGGCAAGATGATAAAACGGTCCCAGGTCCATGTACTACGCGTAGCTCCATTAGGCCAAAACCGCGTTGGATTAGCTTCCTGGGGCTGCCATAACAAATTACCACAAATTTGGTGGCTTAAATAAAACAGAAAGTTATTCTCTCACAGTTGTGGAAGCCATGACGGAACCGCAGACAGGGTGGGCTCCCTTGGAGGCGCTGAGGCAGGAGCCTTCCGTGTCTCCCTTCCCGCCGCCGCCGCAATCCTCCGCAATCCTCCGCGTTCCTGACTTTGCGTCACTTTTTATTTACGTCACTTCAGTCTCCGCCACTGTCCACACGCGGCCTTCTTCCTATTTGGGACTCTGTCTTCGTAGGCTTTCCTCCCCTGTCTCTGTGCCTTCTCCTTTTAGGTCTCATTCATTAGATTTCGGGCCTTCCCTAATCCAGGATGACCTCGTCTTGAGATGCTTAATTACACGTGTAAAGACCCTTACTTCAAATAAGGCCACGTTCTAGATTCTGGGTGGACATATCCTTTGGGGACTGTAGTTCAACCCCAGTGCTTATATTAAAATGTAGGTAACCACTAAAAAAGTTTTTCTAAAGAATACAGTGTATAAGTTCTAAACAAGTGGGGGGTCGGTAACAAGAAATAAAGCTAAGTAAAATGGCACAGTGGCTCACACCTATAATCCTGGCATCTGGGAACCGAGGCAGGAGGATAGTTTGAGGTTGCTGTGAGCTGTGATGACACCACCGTACTCAAGCCCAAGCAACCGAGCAAGACCCTCATTGTATGTTCTTACTACCTTTGTTGAAAATAAGTTGGCTATAAATGTGTGGATTTATCTGTGTTCTCTGTTCTGTTCCATTGGTCTGTGTGTCTATTTTTACGTGAATACCATACTGATTTGGTAACTATGGCATTATAGTATATATTTTGGAATGAGAAAAATGCATGCCGCTAACTTTGTTCTTGCTCAAGAATGCTTTGGCTTATTCAGGGTCTTTGTGGTGCCATTTGAATTTTAAAATTTCTGTAAAGAAATAGGATGGGCACAGTGGGATCCCTTGAGCTCAGGGGATTGAGACCATCCTAAGCAAGAGCAAGAGTGAGATCCTGCAATAGATAGAAAAACTAGCCTGGTGTTGTGGTGGGCACCTGTAGTCCCAGTTACTTGAAAGGATGAGGCAGGAGGATTGCTTGAGCCCAGGAGTTTAAGGTTGCTGTGAATTAGGCTGAAGCCACTGCACTTTAACCTGGGCAACAGAGCAAGACTGTCCCCCCCCCCCAAAAAAAGAAAAAAGCTAAGTAAAAGGTGGTAAAATAAGATGGTTATCATTAGTCCAGATAAATTAGAAATGACTTTAAATGTGAGTTAAAATACACTTATTAAAAGACTAATTCAGATTAAATTAAAAAAAAAAACCCTATACAGAGTATTACTGGTCTCAATATTCACAGACTTGGGTCTCATTCACTTTAACACTTTGCTCAGTGCCTTAGCTGAGCAAGGCAGAAGTACATTTTCATTTGATTAATGTCCTCAAATGGTTTTCACCTGTGACAATGTATGACAAAGGTATAAAAAGAGGTTACAGAACAGAAAAAAGAAAAAAATCTCTTTCAAGCCAAATTTCCCCTTTTCAGACATCAAGTTAAGTTTTCTGGATCAATTTCAAGATTTTTTATTTTTAACAAAAGGTGAAAACTGTAAGATTTATTTTTGATCCCCCATTCATCTTTATTCTTATGCCAATTCCATGTCTTAATTAGAAAAAAGAAAATTCTTTGAAATTCCTGACTACAAAGAATAGCTGTTGTTACCAAACCTGGTAGACTGGTTGATTTTCAATCATGGTGAGCACGAATTCTGAATGCACAGCATGGGTCAGTTTTAATGAGTTCAGAATACCAAAAAAAAGAAGTCATTTGCAAATACATACACACACATTCTCTGAAAGGATAGCTCCTATAATTTTACTAAGAAAAAGTACAAGTTTCAAAATAAAATATAAAGTACAAATTTTCGGCACAATGGTGTAGCGATGTTAAAAAACGAAGAAAATTCAGTCAATGGACTGTGCACTTTTCCTTTCCATTTTGATAAAAAGATGCAACAGCCAGCCAGCCCTAAACAGTGTGAACTATGGTTTTAAACAAAATTGGACAATGTAATATATAAGCAATTTTAACTCAAGACCTACCTCCATTCATATTACACATAAAAGTCATAAAAATTCTCTGCTCTTCAGAGCATAGTTAAAAATTAGCTTTGTTTTCCCCCAAATACCACTCACTCTTCAAGGATTATATCATTCAGCTTTACATCCCAGACTCACTACATACTGCTAATTCAGTGAATTTGCTGAATGTGTGAATTTACACAATAAATTTCAAAACTTCCTTAGATCATAAGACTCTCTCTCCTAACTTTCACCACATTAGCAGGCCAGAAGAGTTTAGGTTCTATCATTCTGACCCAGTGATACTCTTTCATGTCACGAGACATATGAAGAAGTAGTTGAGGCCTAAAGAAAAGCCAGTTTGTTCAGTACAGAGCACCAAGATGTACTATGAAGATGACCAGAAATGCTAACTCTTATTTTGATTTTTAGCACAAATTAATTAGTGTTTCAATATTTAAACATGGAGAATTTCCTTTTAATAAACACAATTTAAAAGATAATTAAAAGAAAGATTCTTCCTAACCCCACTCCCACCTACTAACCACTCTTAAAACATCTCTTCATTTTTTAAGGACGTATTCAAAATGGCAGGAACATAGCTTCAATTTTTGAAATCAAAACTTCTAAATTGTAAAAAATGAGCTAGAAAATCAACAGTAGTGAAAACAAACTGGAATTAGATTTGTTGGACAATCAGCTGAGACAGGAAGGAGAGAACAAGTGGCAACAGCTTTCTACTTTATCTGTCTTTTATACATTTACTTGTTTTTAATGGAGGTGAGCTTATAGTGGTAGTCAGGATCTTAAATCACCCCAAAGTCATTCTCTTTGATGCCTATTAAAAAAGTCACTTAAAAAAGTTTTGCAGGGGAAAAAAGTGCTACTGTAACTCTAGAATATGTGTTTTGGCTGGCTACGTTAAGATTAAAAAAGAAATGTACATAAACACTACAAGGTATATTTCTCATAGGTGTACTGAGTTAGCAATTCTGAAATGAATTCATATGTGTATTAGGGCTGAAAAACTAGATAAGTAAATTGGAGATAATGAGAGATTTCTTAATGGCAGAGAAAAGAGAGACGAAGGGGGAAAACTAGAATGAACCCCAATGCTAAATTAGGAGTTGGAGGTTGCTGTGACGCTACAGCACTCTACCCAGGCGACAGCTTGAGGCTCTGTCCAAAAAGCAATTCTCTTGCCTCAGCCTCCCAAGTAGCTGGGACTACAGACACTTGCCACAACACCTGGCTATTTTTTGGTTGTAGTTGTCATTGCTGTTTGGCAGGGCCGGGTGGGATTCGAACCTGCCAGCTTTGGTGTATATGGCTGGCACCTTAGGCTGCTTGAGCTACAGGTGCCAAACCTGAAAGTGTTAACTTTGCAATCTTCTTAAGGCAGGGAACTCAGACATAGACATATTAGGAAAAGTCAACCAAACTGACATCATTCTATAAAGCTGTTATTTTATAGGAAAAAAATCTTATTTAAGAGTCTTGCCAGGTGTGGTAGCTCATACCTGTAATCTAAGAACTTTAGGAGGCTGAGGCAGGAGGATAGCTTGAGGCCAGGAGTTCAAGAGCAGCCTGAGTAACAGCACAACACTCTACGAAAAAAAAAATTAATGGGGCATGAGAGTGCATGACTACTCAGACACTGAAGAAAGATGTTCCTTTGAGCCCAGGAGTTATGGGCTGCAGTGAGCTCTGTACTCCAGCATGAACAACAGAGCAAGAGAGACCTGTCAAAAAATAAACAAATAAAAATAAAATAAAAGAGCTTTTACAACATACAGTGAGGTAACATGCACCCGGAAAACAATTTTTTCATTTACCTCCCACAACCTCAAATTTCTCAAGAATGTTCTACCCAATGGTAGACATGAAAAAAGGTGGAATAGAGTATTTGGAGAAATACTAAAATACTTAAAAATATTATTTTTTCCTTATAAATGAAGTAAGATTTATTTTTAAATAATGGTGTGGTAGTGAGGACAACTATAGAATCACAAGAATGAGGATAAAGGACACTACTGTTTGAAAGGGCCCTGCTCAAGGATGATAAAACCTATACTTGTCATGGGCAGCATATTAATGATTTAAAAAGGAAAGAACAGATAAAATTGGGTATTTTAATTTATGCTTAGAATTTTCCCAGTAGAAATTATGACCAGTGCATTTTCCAGCTCTATTAAAATTTTTTGTATTAGGTTAACTTACACATAAAGAAAAAACAAGGACTACTTAGATTTTACAATTTAAAAGTGACAGAAAATAAACTTTTAAAACTTTATCATAGTGATATACCAAACCAATTATAAAACAAGAACAAGAATTAAAGGCAGCCCTTCTATGCATTTGACAAGTCTTTCCCTATCTTCAGTTTCTGTGGTCTTTACTACACAAAAATTTAGAACTGTACATAAATCATTTTATGGAGGTATTAATAATAAATGCTATTGCAAGTTCTAACTGGCCATAAATTATCAATTAGGTGTTTTCGGGAACAGGAGTCATCTGCATTAAGATAATACCAATCAAGTACTAAGAGTTAATAAGAATACACTTAAATTTGGTGCAAATTTAATTTTATTAAACCTTACAATGAATGTTGTGGCATATCATTTTCCATTGTGTGACAATTTCTTGGCTGGCATCTGAATACAGTACTTCTTTTGAAAAATACACAATGGGAACTGACAAAAGGGAAAGAAACTAGTTGTTTAGTGATATATGAGGGCAAAAAAAGGATTTAAAAAATGATCAATTAGCTTGTTTCCTTAGTATTTAACCCTAAAATGGTTCAAGTTCCAAGCAATAATGCTGCTGTTACAGTGTACAAGAATATGTTTTTACCTTATTCAGCCCCCAAAATTCTAAGAAAATTAATTACAAGGATTATATACCACTAAATTCAGCTAAGGTTTCTGCTGGGTGATAGGATTTTTAAAGAGCTACTTTCCCAAATATAACCTAAAGAATTTTCCCAAGTCACAGTAGATGGGGTCTCTAAAATATTACACATTAAGGTAGTCATTTTATAAGTGATCAATCACTTAACTTCAAAATCATAAAGGTCACCAAATTATCTTTGCTGATTTGGACTTATACCTGTCAGACTTACAAGAAAAAAAGATTATTTCTTAATGTATAATCCATTTCATCTTTATAAAGTAGACTATCTAATCTGAGTCAGATGATGATTTCTATTACAGAAATGATCAAAAGAGTGGAACATCTAAAATTCAGCAGTCCCCAGTAGGGCATTTTTTGTAGAAATGTTAATAGAAACTTACACATTAACCCCGGTCAACCACCATGTTACAGTGCACAAGTTTAGTTTGACTCATGAGTATAATTAGCTCATTAAGTATTAAACATATTCATCTGTAGTAAAACAGCACAAATTTAAGTATTTTATTCAGTCTCACAACAATTTTGAGAATACTTAAGAATTACTTAGAATACTAAGGCCTGATGAAGGCCTTAACAGTGAGTATCTGAGGTCACACTTATGAATTAAGGTCCCCTAAAATAAAATCTGAAATTATTTTGAGCTATTAAAGTAACTGATTTTTCAAGAGCTCCCAATAGCATCTGTGGAGATGGCAAACAGGGAAGAGAGAATTGTTTCCTAATTGAAATAAGGAATTTTAGTTATCAAGACTGCATTCTAAGCTTTCTTTTTTAAGTGGTGCATAATGCTATTTAAAGAAATCCTTGTTTTATACGAGTTGCACAAGTCAAGCTCACTTGTAAAAATAGTGTGAGATACGCCTTACTTAACAGAATGTAAGCCCTCCCACTCATCCCCCAAAAGGAGGGGAAATACTAAATCACTTAAAAATCCAGTTGTTACCTTTTACCTCAGAATCACTGAGGTCAACTAAGCAATGTTTTCCTTTTTAAAAATATAGCTCATGCATATATAATTTTTATACCACAAGGTTAAAGGCAGATATATCAAAATATTGATGTTTGATATTTCTAGAATATTGATCTAAATCACAAAGTATCTTAATATATGTGGCAGTTCAAATATTTCATCAAATTTGCCCATAGTAAATAAGAGATAGTAAAACTTCATGAAAAGGTTGGAGAGTGCCCATTTATATCTAATCCACCTTTTTCAATGGTGAAATTAACTTTACAACCTAGTAAAAAATGAGTAAGAATATCTCTTAAAAAATTAAAGCTCAATTATTTAACCCAAAAGTCGAATTTCTTTTTATTTACTATTCTGTTACCAGTTTTTTACTAAGGATGATGGTAAACAATGTGACTGTCTGCAATGATGACTCCTTAAATAGCACAACATCCACCCTCAGAATAAAATGTTGACACAAAAATCCAAATGAGTGATCCATCTCATTAAACTCACAGGTAAACTGAGTTTCTCTCAAATCAATAAGGAACTTTTTATTCAGAACAATTTCATTAAGACATTTGCAGGGCAAATACGCCATCATAAATTTTATTCTGAATTACAATAAAGTGCTGAATGATAATTACCTGAATCTTTTTTAGTACTTTTCATTTATCTTTTCTTAAGTTAAAAGAGCCCTTTCTGTGGCAACAGCAAATTAGGGAAGGAGAGACAGAGAGACAGAGAAAGAGACAGAGACAAAGAGACAGAGAAAAGAAAAGCTAACTTTAGTAAGGGAATAGGAAGCACTGCAACCTTTTGTGTTTAACTAGGGTAACAAATAATTGAGACCAAAGTAATTCATGCAAGTTATTTCAAAGGTATACTTAAGCTTGAAGGAAGAAAGAAACACTGTTACTGACCTTTGATACTATGGGAGTAAATTGCATACTAAAATACCTTAATTATCCTAGATGCCTAGATCTGGCTCGGCAAGCATCATGCCACTGACATGCTTTAGCTCTTTTTATAACTAAAAGTGATTTGCAGTTCAATTACTGAATATTTCAATGTGACTTGTTAAGCTGTGTGATAAGCTTTGAAGTTAAATTTAAGCAAATTCTCTACACCTAGTCACACCATCAGCACAAGCAGGACGACGCTGGAGCAGCATGAAAGGTGGGTCACTTGAGAAGATTCTTCCTTTTACTGCATGATATATTAAGATGACAGACCTAAATTTCAATTGGGTTAATGAGTTAGAATAGATTTGTTTCCCAAATTTAGCACACAATAATTTCAGTGGGTTAGAGAAAGAAACCTCAGATGTGAAGAAAAAAACAAAAAAGCTTGAGCTAAGATAGCTGGCTAACCTGCAGCTCTAAAAAATGTCATGCTATTAAGAGTACTTTCATAAAATGAACTTTGTAACACACTTAAGAAAACAGTGTTTGGAGTTGAAGTTGACCAACTGCTGCATAGAAAATATGCTAACATACAACAGTCAAGTTTAAGCCGGTGCATAGAGAAGATAAAGCACTTATGGTAACTGCAAATGGTAACAAGTCCATAAAGTTTGTACAGTCTAGCATGTGTCCACAAGGAGAAAAAATTGTAGTAGAAATGGTTAGGAAAAAAAATAAAGTAGTAACAGGAGAAACTTGAAGGAAGCAGCAGGGGAAAAAAAAAAAAAAAAGACCTTCAATTGTATAAAATTCACAAAGCAGTAAAGTATAAAGACACCACTGAAAAACACTTAACTCTGTACCAAACACCAAAAGCGAACAAAACCAGAATGAATAAGCCTTTGGCAGACAATTTTAGAAATTTGATTATGACATCACATTTCTCAATAATTCACAAACAATATATTATATGGTATTTTTATATTAAATACTGGGAAACCAATCATGTAAATTTGATGCTTATAATGCTTTAGCCAATGAGAGCACGATGATATCAAGCTAAATGAATGCTGGTGTTATCACAACAGTGCTCGTTTATGAAACAACTGTTACCAATTCGTGCTTTAAGAGTGCTAAAATACAGTCAAATTATCATCTATGAAGTGAAACAAAGGTCTCTAGCTTTTCTGGGATATGCCCTTTATAATATATTCTATGATTCACTATGACACGAGCAGCAAGACACTGCAGTGTGGTATGATTTATGGGCTGGATCAAATTTTTAGCTATTTCCTTCTCGTCCAGCAAGTCACTAGCAGTTTGTTTGTGCAAGTTTGTGGCATCAAAATGTGCACCTGATTTAATAAGGAGATTCATGATATCTGGATGGTTGTTCAGAGCAGCGATATGTAGGGGACTGTTGTCATCGGAGTCTCTGACGTTCACATCAGCACCACATTCTATTAGTATCGCAGTAACTTGCAGAGATGGAAATTTACAAACAGGGTACCGCCCCACACACGTAGTATTCTTGTCCACAGCCAGATGAAGAGGGCTGAAGTTGTTCTTTCCCCTCGGATGCAGCTTAAGAAATCTGTATATAGTCTGCTTTTTGAAATGGTCCTGTTCTAGAGTACAAGGAACTTTTTCTAACAAGCAAATTAAGTGCAAAATGATGGAAAGGGCTTTATTTAACTGTAATGGGTCAGCTGGACACTGAGTTTGTTTGATAGCTCGCTCTATTTCAAGTACACTTTTGCATAGGATGCCCATAAGATCATCAAATGTAACAGTGGTACCCAGCAGGCCTTTAGCCCTATCCTGTAGCATAAAAGAGAATAGTTCTGCAAAAGATAATAAGCTGCTGGCAGTCATTGGGCTTAGAGGGTCCAAATTATTTTGCTGCATATCCAAAGCATACTTCCACAGGTTGATGCATCGTTTGAAATTGCCAGAGTCTGCATAGACAGCGCCTCTGTATCTAATATAGTAAGAGGTATCAGGATGAGAAGGACCTAGAATACGCTCTCTAATTAATAGTGCCTGCATTCTCATCTCATCAGGATCAGCAATAAGACCTTCTAGCTCTTCCGTACTGTTTACCTCCTTGGCATAATCATAAGCCATTATTAGCGTCTGAGGTACTGGTTTACTAATTATATTAGTCCTGTCACTGTACCTCATGTTCATTGCCTTTTTCCAATACTTCAAAGCCCCTAGGAGATCTCTTTTTTTGTCTACAAATGTAGCTCCCAGAAGCTCTAGAGCATTGATACGTTCTGTCTTGCTGGTCTGTGCATGGTGTGTCAGAAAATCCACAATATTTGTGTGACCAGTCACACTTGCTGAGAGAAGAGGAGTCATTCCATAACCATCCTTTTCCATCTTGGCACAATACATAAGAAGCATCTTCATGATGTCCAAACTTCCAGATTCTGCACAATCATGTAATGCAGTATTACCTTAAAGAGAGGGAAAAAAAGATACACTTTGAGGGACCAGGATGTAATGTAGTACATGTATTTTCTCCACCACCCCCCCTTTTTTAGTACATGTATTTTCAAACCTAAAGAAAAGCAAGCATCTCCAAGCCACCTATAAGTAGGACATACTTTAATTTGATTACAAATGAGAAAAAAAAATTATCTGCAGCACCTAAAATTAGTGTCTGATCCATAGTAGAGGCAGAAGATACTTGTTAAATATCATGACCAAATTAGGGAGAAAAAGCTATTCAAAGCTGCCAGATGAAACTCAAAATTAATCCATAGCCTCTTGGTATTTTTCACTGTTTCAAGTGCATATTCTGACTAAAAATGGATGAAATAAAAGTAACAGCTAAGCCCAGTTTTGCTGATAGTCACTTAACTTTCTGGTCAGTTTCCACATTTATAAACAAGGAATCTAGTCTTTAATATCTAAGATTCCTCAATTTGATTTTAACAGTAGTCAGAAATTACTTTTTTTTTTTTTTTTTGAGAGAGAGTCTCACTTTGTTGCCCTTGGTTAGAATGAGACAAAGTAACTCTAACTCTTGGGCTTAAGGGATTCTCTTCCCTCAGCCTCTAGAGTAGCTGGGACTATAGGCACCTGCCACAAGGCCCAGCTATTTTTAGAGACGAGGTCTCAGTCTGGCTCAGGCTGGTCTCAAACCTGTGAGCTCAGGCATTCCACCCTCCTCAGCCTCCCAAATCCTGGAATTACAGACATGAGCCATTGTGCCTGGCCTAGAAATTACTTTTTCAATATTTTTTTATGAGTGCCAAGCGAACTTCAGCTGCTTTAACCAAAATTCATGGTAACAAAGTACTTCCCTTAAAAAACTCCCATAAGAAAAACAAGTCCACTGAAATCTGAAAAATATGTGATGAGTTCAATATGAACTTTAAAAAGAGACATCTGAAGCATCTTTTCATATGCATTATTTCCCGTTATAATTTAATTTTTTAAACATTCTTTTTAGATGTACTAAATGTTCTAACACTGTCCTCTTCTTCCCACACACAGATTAAAACTAACAACAGGCACTGGCACATTAGTAAAAGCCTGTAAGAAACATATTAAAACATTATAAATACTAGGTATTTTAACTATCTAAGTTTAACAATAAAACATTTTACTACTCATCAAAATAAAAATTATCATTCAGACCTTTGATATTTACAAACAATGCAGAAAATTTCAATAGTGAGTCACTTTACTCATGTCTGTAAAAAAGAGTTAATACAGCAGGCTGAGACTACTATCCCTAGAAAGACCTACTTGCAAGGTTGACCCATGGCTGGCATCAGGGAACTTGTCCAGTAACTTTATACTCATATGAGACTTTTCCTAAACTGCTCACACCAACAATGAAGTTTATACTGAACACCTAGTTTCCTTCTAGGAGTCTGAAATTTTGGACATGTGCTAGGAAAAGGGCACCTACAAGATCAGCCCTCAATAACAACCCTAAGTGTGGAGTCTCGCGTGGGTTGCTGTGAGCAGAAACAGCACCCATGCATATTCACTGCTAGGGAAGAGTGTTGTTCTTCCCTCATGACGGCGCACATAAAAATGCCTACACACCGATTCCTCTAAACCTCACCTGTGCTTTCCCCACTTTGTGATCCAGCTGCATGTCCTTATTACATACATTACTATAATAAATCTTAACTGTGTGTGAGTAAAACTGTATAGCGAGTCACCTTTAAATACAAGGGTGGATTTACAGACCTCCCAACACAGAATGTGTACCAGAATGTGGTTTGATCTGAATACTTCAACTAACAAATCTACTTTCTACGTAAAATTAGAAAAGACAATCATCATACCTTAAAAATTTAATCTTTCCACAAATGTTATCCTGTTTAGTCTTTTGTGATATCTATAAGGACTACATAAATATTCTGGATATGTTTATTCTGACTCAGGATATCAATGATCTACAAGAAATAGTGTCTGATAAAAATGTCTTAGCAATATGCAGTGTAACCAAGCACTAAGAGCGCCCACAACTTCTGATAATTGCTGTTCATTTGTTCAAAATAATTTCCATTAAATATGACTCCTACTGAGTATTGAATTTAGAACTTTTGTTATACTTATTTTTCTAATAAATAAGCAATATAAGGAGAAATCTGAATATAAAAAGAAAGTTCAGATGGCATTCTTCTCTAATCATAGTAGTATATAATCAGGAATAAAAATGTAGCAAAAGTCAATTTACATTTCTGCATTTCTCTTCTTTTTTCTTTTTTTTTTTTTGCAGTTTTGGCCAGGGCCAGGCTTGAAACCGCCACCCCTGGTATATGGGGATATGGGGCCAGCACCCTACTCCTTGAGCCACAGGCACCACCCTACATTTCTGCATTTCTTTATTGAAATGAAAGACTATATTTACTTTGAGTATACCTACCTCTTTCTTAAAGGTGGCTTTAAAAAAAATAAGGAAAATTTTCACATCTAGTAACGGCAGAGATAACTTTTACTATGATTATCCTCCCACTAAGAACTAGTAAAGCTGAAAAAAGGAATTTTTATTTATTTATTTATTTGAGACACATTCTCACTTTCTTGCCCCCTCCCTCCAGGTAGAGTGCTATAGAATCATAGCTCACTTCAACCTCAAACTCTTGGGTTCAAGCAATCCTCTTGCCTCAGCCTCCCAAGTAGCTGGGACTATAGGCACCGCCATAATGCCCCGGCTGTTTTTTAGAGACAGGGTCGCACTCTTGCTCTGGCTAGTCTCCAACTCATGAGCTCAAGTGATCCACCCATCTGGGCCTCCCAGAGTGCTGGGATTACAGGCATAATCCACCGTGGTTGGCCCTTGAAAAAAAAGAATTTTAAAAAATCTGCCTGACATGTGAAATTTACTAGGTGTAGAATATAAATGTCTTAACACAGTAACTAAGAAAATGCCATGAAGGCTATGTTAACTAGTTTGATGAAAACATTTCAAATTGTATATAAAACCAGCTCATTATATCTACCCCATGATTGCATTAATGTACACAGCTATGATTTAATTTAAAAAAAAAATCTGCCTGACAGAAATTAAGAGATAACAAGGGGGTAGTATTGAGGAGGCGAAAATACTAGAGGAGTAAAGTCCAGAATTTGAGGCAACTTTCTTACAATGGCCCCCACTGCTTCTGGAACAGACAGCTGAAACTCTAAGCAAAACTTTTAACAGTCCTTCCTGGAGGGCTAAAGGAGAAAAATGGATTCATAGTCCATGTAGAGGAGAATTTTGAAAACTCCCCACACTTTAGGTTAGAGCTCTGAAGGCTACACCCTAGGGAGCCAAAGTAAACTAATAAACAAGCCATCACAGGAACTGAAATCTAATTTAAAATCATCTCAACATTGAATTAAAATACTCCAAGATGCTAGTATACATAATCAAAAGTTACATGTAAATACAAATAGTGTTTAGAGGAAGATGTTATCATACTAGGATTCAAATTATTTTTGTTTGTTTTTTGTTTTGTTTTTAGAGACAGAGTCTCACTTTATTGCCCTAGGTACAGTGCCGTGGCATCACAGCTCACAGCAACCTCCAACTTCCGGGCTTAGGTGATTCTTTTGCCTCAGCCTCCCACATAGCTGGGACTACAGGCACCCACCACAACGCCCGGCTATTTTTTTGTTGTGGTTCAGCCAGGACCAGGTTTGAACCCACCACCCTTGGTATATGGGGCCGGGGCCCTACTCACTGAGCCACAGGCGCCGCCTGTGGATTCAAATTATTTTTTATATTTTTCATATGTAATGCTTGGTATCCAATCAAAATTAATGAACAAAAAACAAGGAACCACAACAAAAACCAAGAGAAGAGCTTACAGGCGTAACAAGAGATCCAGATAATCGAGTTACTAACACACATTTTAAAATAACCAAGTTCAGAATATTCAAATAGACTTTTAAAAATTGAGAATTCAAAAGAAAAGTGGAAACTTAAAAAATATCCAATGGATATTCTATAAGTGAAAAAGTCAATGAGTAGTTTTATTGGCAGATTTATACACAGCTGAATTAGTGAACTAGATGACAAATCAAATGAAAATATACAGAAAGCAGCATGGAGCAGTAAAAGATGAAAAGCACAGGGACAATGTCACAAGGGATAACATACTCAAAACCATAATTCTTGAGGAAGAAATTGAGGCAAAAGCAATATTTAATGAGATAATATCTGAGATTTTCAGAAACCGATGAAAACTACAAATTCAATAAGTTTTATAAACTCCAAGAAAGATAAATAAAAAGAAAACCACATTGAGGCACCCAATAGCAAAACTGCTGAGAACTAAAAACAGAGAAATATCTTAAATGAGAGAACAGGTAGAAATTACCTCTAAGAGAACGACAATCAAACTGAGAGCCAAGTTCTCACGAGGAACAGCAGATCCCAGGAGACACAAAATGATATTTAAAAGCAATAAAGAAAGTAATTACCAACTTAGAATTCTATACTCACATCATGATAAATGTGAAAATAAAAGACCATTTCAGGTGAGAAAGAAAAGAAAAAGGAGGCTTGGCGCCTGTGGCTCAAGCGGCTAAGGCGCCAGCCACATACACCTAAGGTGGCGGGTTCGAATCCCCACCCCGGGCCCGCCAAACAACAACGATGGCTGCAACCAAAAAATGGCCAGGCGTTGTGGCGGGCGCCTGTAGTCCCAGCTACTTGGGAGGCTGAGGCAGGAGACTCGCTTGAGCCCAGGAGTTGGAGGTTGCTATGAGCTGTGATGCCATTGCACTCTACCCAGGGGGATAGCTTGAGGCTCCGTCTCAAAAAAAAAAAAAAAAAGAAAAGAAAAGAAAAAGGAAAAACTAAGATTTACTACCAGCAGACCTAAATACTATAGGGTGTTCATTAGACAGAATGAAGCTGAGCCACATAGAAGCTTAGAACTGTGGGCATAAATATCAACAAAAATGTGTAAATTTGTGGGTAAATCTAAGTAAATACAGA